TGAGAAACCCTGCTTCAATATGTAAGGTGACTGAGGAAGATGCCTAGTGTCAACCTCTGCCCTCCATCCTCACCACACAAATATAGCACATAACACATATACATCACAGGAATACATCCTTACCTATCATTAACAACCTCAGATGTAAATGGACTAAATTTTTCAGTTAAAGCTTAGGGGACTTGCTGAATGAATTTAAAATGCCACAAGCCACCAGTATGCTGCCTGCTAGTAATCCACTTTACAAGTAATTACACAGACAGTAAAAAGAGAAAGATGCAAAATGATACCCCAGGAATAATCAACAAGGACTATCTATCTATTAGACACTAGGACAGAGATAAAGGTAGTCACCATGTGACAATGAATCAAGTCAACAGCGAGATACAATTATAAGTTAATATGCACCTAATGTTAAAGCATCAAGTTTTATACACAAACATTATAACACTTGGAGAGAGGATCCAATACAGAAATAGTGGGAAATTTCAGCATTCCACATCAGTTAAAGAATAGCCAGACCTCCTCCTAAAGTCAAATTAATACCAGAGTTAAGTTATACTATAACTCATATGACTTCTGGACATTTACAGAATAATCCATCCAGTAGCTACACAACACATTTTCAAAACATTTAAATCATAGGCCAGATCCTTTCTGATCACTATGACTGATGAAACTAGAAATCAATTAACAAGTAAAACTCTAGAAATTATACAAATACATAGAGATGGAACAACACTGAGCAGTCAATCATGGGGGAACTGACAGGTGAGGAAAACTTTTCTCCAATCAGCAGTTAGAGAGTATTTTAGTTACTCTTCTATTGCTGTAATAAACATCATGACCAAGGCAACCTATAAAAGGGAGTGTAGAGTCCATGATGGTAAAGAGAAGGCTTGGTGGCAGAAGCAGCTAAGAACTCACATCTCAAACCCTAAGCAGGAGGCAGAGAGCAAACTGAATCATACAAGTCTTTTGAAACCTCAGAGCCTGCCCCTCGATAACACACCTCTTCTTCCTTCCCAAACAGTTCTACCAACTGGTGACCAAATATTCAAACATATGAGCTTATGGGAGCCATTTTTATTCAAACCAGCACAGAGAATGTGGCTAATGGTAGGTTCCCAATGCTCCAGAGGGTGGACCCACACCAGGGCACATGGGCAGCACTAACTGGACTTAGTAAATTACCAAATCAATCAATCATCAATAAATAAAAGACATGAAGTTAGGAAGTCATTAGAATGGGTGCATTGGTTACATTTTCATTATATGTATATATGAAATTCTCAACAAATAAAAAATAATAGAAAAAAACAAAATAAATACAACACAATGCAACTGAGTTACAATAAATTACATTTATGAGCTACATTTATCAGTGCCTACATAAAAGATAGAAACTTTGCAAGTGCCCCATTGAAGTACCTCAAGGGCTTGGAAAGAAAGAACTATATAAAACCCCAATAACAGAGATCAGCAAAAAAAATACAAAAGATCAATGAAGTCAAGAGTTGTTTGCACAAATAAAGATGGAAACAAAACTGATTCAACCGAACATCATAGCTTCATTGGGGATGATTTTTTTTTTAAAACTTCATGTTGACAAGTTAGACAACCCCTGATGACATTAAACATGTGACTAGAATAGCAAGTGGCGGTCAACACTCCTGCCATATGGGGACGCACCTTGTAGGATTTAAACAGAAACTCCCTAATTGTTTAAGCAAGGAACATCAGGATCGTGGTATGTATCTGGCTAAAGCCTGCTGGTGGAAACATTTGTGGGAGAGACCTCTGGAGAGTTTTTGCCCACGTCCTGATGCTCTGGAATGTCCCTCTCCACACAGCAAGGACACTGTGACTATTCCCTGTCTAGAGTACAAGAAGCTTGTGCTAGCTCCCCTGTCTTCCTCTCTCCCGGGACTCTCAACTCCTCAGCAGAGGCTAGGGAAGTCCTCTGAGCCACAGAGGCTGTGGGTGTCCACGCAGAGGGTCTTCATCTCCATTCTCTAATCTGTGAGGCTCGTGTGATGATGTCACAAATGCCATTGCAGGATTGCTTGTTGCGCACATTTTTGTTCCTGTCATCCTCTGCCATTTTCCTTTCAATCTGTCTTTACATAGCCTCTTCCAGAGTTCTTACTTTTCCATTCTTTTGTGGTTTTGTAAAGTTTCATGGTAGAATTAAATGTTCCATCATGGTAGCTTTGTCTAAGTCCTGTCACTTCCCAGCTTGCTTGAAGAGATCCGGATCGTTAGAGAAGATGCTGCTGCCTCCTTTCAGGCCTTTGCATATATTGCCTCATTCACTGCTCAGACTGGAGGGGTAGGGACTCCTGGGAGGTAGGTAGTATTAGCCCCATTTTACTGGGAACTGAGTCATTCCAGAAGAGAAGCCTGCGTTATTGCACAAAGGGGAGTGTAGACTGAAGGGCTAGATTGCCCAAGCTTGAATCACAGTTCTGCTACCTCATAGCTATGTGACACTAGGCAGTTAACCTAGCCTTTCTGTGCTTTGTTTCCCTCTTCTTGTATGGCTTACTATAATTCCTGCCTCACAGGGTTGTTGAGAGTTTTGACAATGATGTGTGAAACAGTTAGAAGCATCCTGGCAAAGGACCATAGCTCAGTAGATGCTAGCTAGGTAAGAACAGATAGACCAGCAGAGGCCCTCCCCACAGCATGACCAACCTAGAGGGACTGTCAATGGTGAGTGCCCAGTGCACACTGACCCTGAAGTGAGAGGGAGGGACACAGCTCTGATCCTAGGGTACTGCCATCCTCTGCCTTGTGAGGTTTTAGCAGCCTCTTCTACTCTTTCATTCCGGCTCTGACATGTTCATCTCGTCAGTGTTACATCGAAATGTTATAAATCTGCTGCATAAACATTTTTAACTTTCTGGAAAACATGTCAGAACACCTATCATGAAACTTGGTTTGCCTTCCTCATCTTTCTGTAGTTTTGGGGTCTGAGTAATTTATTGATGATGAAAGTAGAACACAGTTCCCTGGAGTCGAAGAATTGTTGGACTTTTGATATCAACAGCAATAGGAATTCCTGGGCCATTTCATGGTACTGCAAGAGTGGAAAGAAAGGAAGCATTTCAGATCCTAGAGGAGAAGTTACGAGGCAGATAAAAACTGACGTGGGTTAGAACACCCAGAGAAGGCCTCTCACTCACTCCCATGCCCTCAGGTCCACTCTGAGCCTTCTCAGATGCACAGATACACCCACTGGCTTGTGTGGCGGTTAGTACAGCATATGTGTGTTTTATTACCTTCCAAGTCTTCCAGAGTAGATTGCTCACAGCCGTCTCATCACCCCGGGAAGAATGGTGGGGAAGTTGTGTGGGAGAGGGGTTGCCCCTTTTCCTGGGTGTATTAGTAATTAGCTATGCAGTATTCGGATGGCTGACTCATCCGGTCTCCACAGTGGGAGAATGCAGGCAGCACATTCTAACCACTAGTGAAACAGAGATGCATTGCTGAGAGCACAGTTTTTCCTACAGGTAAGTCACCTAGCCACCCCCATCAGAGCAACACAGCCTTACCCACTGGTACCATAGCTTTCACAACAGGTCAGCTTCACCGCCCCCACCTGTGACAACAATCCAGTCTTCCCCATCCATCACAGTGAGGCAGCTTTTCCCATACCCTTCATAACATCGCCCACAGTCTGGCCAGTGACTAACATTGACATAAAACATATAATATATACAATTGAGGAACTGCATCCTACACCTGTACATTTTAATTATGTATAGCAGACACAGACATAATGCCCAGTGTACTGTTCAAAGACGTTTTTTCTTCATGTATTCATTTTATCTTTTAAAACAGCCCTGTGAGGTAGATACTATTTTAATCCATATATTACACAGAGAAAGCAGAAATGTTAACTGGCTTGCCTAAAATCACAGCAATAATAGGTAACAGAGTTGAGATTTGGATTTAGAAAGCTCAGCTCAGCTTTTACTAGCTATGCTATCTCTTAATTGTGAGTAAAAAAGAGAAATATGTCCACCTTAGTCAGGTACAAACTATATTAATCTTATAAAATTTAAGAGGAAATTATTGCTATGGGTAAATGGGGTAGGGGGAAAATTCTAGGATTGACTCAACAGGAAGACATACTACCCTAAACATATATGTATTCTATAATATGGCTGCAAACAGAGAAAGCAAAGACCGATTGAACCAAAGCAATACAAAGACAAGTCCACAGTAACAGCTTGTCAATAAAATGAAGGAACAAGCAGGACAGACACACAAACACAAACCCACATGAGAACTGAAAGATCATGTTAACTGACAACTGAGACTGCCTACTGTGCAATCCATACAATGTGCTCACCCAAGTCAATCCTGGGCTTGGTAAGCACCTTTCAAAAAGACTGGAACCATACAGAACATGTTCTTAGACCACAGTAAAAGTGATTCCAAGACCAATGCCAAAGGGATAGCTAGAAAACCTCCAAATATTTTTGAAATGAATAACAACCCTTAAATGATTCAGGGTTCAACGATTCCACCGCCCATGTTGTAGTGTGGCAGTAGAGAAATGCCAGTGCACAAAACTGCAGCACAGCTAAAGCAGGGCTCAGAGACGGATCCAAAACTTCAGTAGAAGAGAAAAGTCTGGACAGCTGTAGCTTTTTACCAGAAGCAGCTGAGGGAAAAATCAGCAGGTTACTCCCAAAGAAAACAGAAATAAAGACGTAAGCCGAAGTCAGTGAGGTAAGGGAGCCACTTGATAAGAACAGAACCAAACTTCGTTCTTTAAAAAATCAAATGACAGTGAAGCATAATACACCCCTCCATGCCCATCCCCGACACTCGCATTGTATTAGGAATATTCCCCTTAAAGTGGGGTGTGTCCTCCTACAAGCGCTTTATACCCCTAAGCAGTGTTAGTGTGTCCGTTCCCTTTTTGACTGAGTCTGCAAATTCTTTTCTAACTATTCTCCTGTCTCTGTTTGTTCCATGCTAAGCAGACGGCCCAGAAATTAGCCAAAAGCAGGAAGAAGGTGCAGTACAACTTCATCACTTGATGTTACGCCTGTCTGGTTTCTTTTATGTTTCGCCTTTTTATGATTTCGTGTTTTTGTTTTCTGCATCCAGCAAGTTTTTTGTTCCGATTTCGTTTTGAGTCGCTCCATAAGCCAGCCTCTCTCCAAACTTAGTTGCCTCAAGTGGCCATTTTTCTGTTGCTCATTTGGTCATTTCACGTCAGAGGAACGACAGGGAGCAGATTGGAGATGCTAAATGAATCCTCTAGTGTGGAAGCTGCAAGCCGTTCAGGAGCAATGATGTGGCAGGGACCTGGGACTACTCAATTACAGTTACATTCCATTTGAGGATTTCTCAGATTGCTGGATGCAAAAAAGAAAACCCACTAATAACCACATATGTGCAGGGTTCAGCCCTAAATGAGCCAGGCTGCACTTTGGGGATTGTAGAGCTTCTTCTAGGTATTTGTAACTTACTCCGAGGATGTGAGACGTTGGGGGCTCTTTTGTAATGGGGGTTGCTGCGGGAACAGGCAGCCGCTTCTGTGGTGCTGTGGTGGTGTGAATATGAAGACCCTCTTACCAGAACTGCATCCAGTGGCTTTATTTGCACCTGCTACAGACAGTGTCCTCTGTTAGCTCTTTCAGGGTAAACTGAGTGACTGTTCCAAGGTCCTCACTATGAGTCAGATGCTCTTACCCTTCAGTCTCCAAAAGCCTTACAGGAAGGGGCACTTGTCATCATGTCCAGGGTTAATCTGCTGCAGCCACTGCTGCTCTGGGGGAAGGAACAGAAGGAACTCTGCATTTCCCCTATCATATAGAGATGCTAACTCTTGCCCACGTGTCCATCCTCCCTGTAGTACCTTTAGCTTTGGCAATTTAACCCTGTGTTGCCGTTCTGGTGACTGTGTCTTGGTAACCCAGTGTGTGAGCTAACATTTCCCATGCCTCTGGGTTAAGATAAAATAGTAAAACAACTTCTTGGTGCACTTTCTTCTTAGGCTCCTGAAGGTGAATCTCAGCCAATGACTGAGGTGGATCTCTTCATCTCTACCCAGAGGATCAAAGTATTGAATGCAGATACACAGGTAACAGCTTGTTCCCACTTTCCTCAGGGGTGGAGGCCACTGGAATTCTAACATAGATTCTCTGCCTGTAAAGTGCCTATCCCCAGGTATTGGGGTGCTACAACTTGCATTCTGGGCCCTGGAAACTGACAGGGGTGATGAGGGAATAAAGAAAGGACAGACTCACAGACAGAGTAGCTGGGATCTGGTAGACCGTATGCTCTGATGGAGGTGTACCAGCAGCAGCCCTGAAACTCAGTGTGTTTATTTTATACCTCTGAACAAGGAGGTGGGTTTAGCTAATCTCAGTAGGACATCTCTTTAGGAGAGTAGTCTCAGGCTGTAAACACTGGGGAGGACAAAACTGGGGTCGACGGGGTTTGTTGGTTTGTTTGTTTGTTTTCAGCATCTACACATGGACCAGGGAAAAGCTTTGCCATCCCCATGAGTCTGAGACACTGGGATCCTTGATGTAACTGTGTTCATGTCAATAATACGTATTCTGTCAGGACTTCATCTACCCCCACACTGGTTTCTAGTGAAACTCAAAAGCTAATGTGGGCTCAAAGGTCACATTAATTCTTAAAGCACAAAGAAAAACTCAGGACATGTGTGTCGTTTATCACTCAGTCACTCATATGAATTCTTTGAGAAGGACTCACATGAAATCTATCTAAAATTGTACAGGACTCATTAGCCTTAAGGGAATCTATTTATAATTGTATATACATACACACACACACACACACACACACACACACACAAACTTAGATTTTATCCTTTCAGCTTCACCACTGGAGATTCCACACAGTATAAAATGTTTGATATTTGTTTCTCTCCTGCACATATCTCTTGCTCTTCATTAACCAAGGAAACTTCCTCAGGCCTTGGGGGGTAGGATTCAGAGGTCTGGCAGTGAAGGTTTGTCCCTGGCTCGCCCCTCCTAGGTTCCATACTCAGCTGGTATGAGGGAAGAAGATAACCATCTGGTAAGTTCTAAGGTTCTGTGTGCAGACTCACCTGCTCTGCCCTTCACCTCTAGGAGCCTATGATGGACCACCCTCTGAGGACCATTTCCTACATCGCAGACATTGGGAACATCGTTGTGCTGATGGCCCGCAGGCGGATGCCCCGCTCCAACTCCCAGGAGAATGTGGAGGCCTCTCACCCATCCCAGGATGGAAAAAGACAGTACAAGATGATCTGCCATGTCTTTGAGTCTGAGGACGTAAGCCTGGCTTCCCCAACCTTCCTCTGGGTGACCTGGGTAGCCACTAAGTGCCCGGTTTATCAGAACCCAAGTCAGTCTGGCTCATCATACATTAAACATATGTATTGGGTGCCTACTGTGTGTCAGGCACTGTTCTAGATCTTTAAATATAAGGCTGGATAAAAGCACAGGGGTTAGGTTTTGTGCAGGTTGAAAGGAGTAGAAAATAAGATAAATGGAGTTAATAAATGAGACATGGAGGGTGCTTTACTGAAATACAAGACAGGGTCAGTGCACAAAGGCCAGGACGAGTTCACGTACAGTCATCAGCATAATCCATTTTTTTTCAACAAGGTAACTTTGAACAGAGACCTAAATAGAATGAGAGACTAGGAAATAGCAAGCACAAAAGCCCCAAGGCAGGGGAGTGCTGAGTTTGCTTAGGAAGGAAGAGTGGCCACGCTGCCAGCAGGCTTTGAAAGAGGGAGACCCAGATTGCCAGTCTAAGCAAGTCTTCATGGCACCAGAGTGTCCGCAGAGGAAAACTTCAGAGCTGTGAGGAGCTGTCATGCTATGACAGTTCAGTGGCCCTTTTCTTCCCAGCCCAGTGACAGGAACATCACCCACCAGACCCAGACCTCTTAACCACTGAGACATCTCTCCAATTCCCTTTTCTCTACAAAATAATTCATAGCCATAAATACAGTAAAGGAAAAAAAGTTGAGATAAGAATCATGATACATTGTATAAATGCCGGGGCCCAGCCATTCCAAAAAAACTGTCATGGGGTAGCCAGATACTTACACCTACTTACCTAAATTTGGCTGTGAGAATAATAGTTTGATGTGATACTGTGGGTGATTTCTACTTGACATTTTGAATTGGGGGCCAAGCAAGCATCCATGTCTATACACACAGGCAGGATCTCCGTGTGCCACCGTGCATATGGACAGAGATGTGATCATTACCAACTCAAAGGCCAAGACCACAAATGATGTGGATGGTTTTGAAAGACATGAAACGTACGAAATCTCAAAGGACCTTCACTTTGCATAATATTATTCTTAACATGTGCAGTGTAGCCAGTGCCTCCCAGTGAGTCTTTGTATTTAAATATAAACTAGAATCCAGTTATGGGCACAGTGATTAGCACCAAATGTTACATATGATATAAATGTCCAGTGAGATGTCCAAAAATTATACAGGCTGTAGAATGACTTGTCATCGTGTATGACTGTCCTGCATATAGCAGGATGTCCTGCATCTCAGATTCCTGTGTACTGAGTACCAGTGACTCCCTTATGGGCACAGTCATAATAAGAAATATACTGATTTTTTTTTCAAATAGTTCCTGGTAGGCTCTGGTACCCTGATACAGACTGACTGACTGACCTGCTGTTTAGAAGCCTCAAGTGCCACAAGGAATTGACCAGGGTGGGTGTTCCAGGAGTTCCCCCATTCACCACCATCTTCCCTTATGCTGCTATAGGCCCAGCTGATCGCACAGTCCATAGGACAGGCATTCAGTGTTGCGTACCAGGAATTCCTCAGGGCCAATGGCATTAACCCAGAAGACCTCAGCCAGAAGGAATACAGTGACCTGCTCAACACCCAGGACATGTACAACGATGACCTGATCCACTTCTCCAAGTCAGAAAACTGCAAAGATGTAGGTACTTCCCGGAAATTGTTCCCAAGCTGAGCCAGTAGGGCGGGACCCTGGAGGGCGAGGCAGCCCTGCTGTGGAGGCAGAGGCTGAAGACAGGGGTGTTCACAGAACGTTTTGTGGTTCCCATGCCCATCTCTGGCTTCTTCCCAGAGGATCCTATCATTAAGTACTATCAAAAACAAGTATAAATAATAGGCTGCACATCCCCTGCCCTTGTGAGCCAAGGAGAGTTTTGAGTGAATTCTATTGATGTGAATGCAGGACCTGACCTCTGTCCTTACGAAGCCCACGGTCCAGGTAAGGGCACTGAAAGTGGCTGGTGACGTGCCCAGCTCTAGCACTGATGAAAGACAGCTGCACTTGGCAGAACAGAGGTCATGGCAGCTTTAGTATCTCTCCCCTCACATTCCTCTGCACAGCAAAGTGTCCCAACATTTATTTTTCACTCAAAAATCTTAAATACTGAAAAGAATTTACAGGGCACCATGGAATGGAAAAACCTGTGCAGAGCATCTGAGAGCCACAGAGATTAAGGCCACCTACTACGGACAACTAATGTTTTAAAGGAAAACAGAAAATCCTGCTGCCCCTTGTATTTGCATGTAAGACCAGACTGGTCATATGAAATGAGAGTGAATTCCCAGGTCTAGATGGGTTTGGATGACGTGGTTTCTTACAGACTCCCAATACTGTCGGATGTAGAAAAGACAGAAACCCACTTAGACTGGCAGCCCCAAAGAAGTGTCTCTTTTTTCCGACATAGGCAGGGGCCTCAGCTCCAGGACCTATCCCATATGACTGCTGATTTGAGATTTCTACTTCTTCTCCTTTCAGGTCTTCATAGAGAAACAGAAAGGAGAAATCCTGGGAGTTGTGATTGTGGAGTCTGGCTGGGGGTCCATTCTACCAACCGTGATCATTGCCAGCATGATGCACGGAGGCCCTGCAGAGAAGTCAGGGAAGCTGAATATCGGGGACCAGATCATGTCCATTAACGGCACCAGCCTGGTGGGCCTGCCTCTCTCCACCTGCCAGAGCATCATTAAGGTACCGAGGCATGAGAAAACCTTTTCAGTAACAGACCTAAAATGAGGTGAAATGTGACTGCCATCCTGTCCTCAAAATTTGCAAACATTTTTAAGCACAGGCAGGAGGAAGACCCAAATACGAACAACATGGACTTGCACCCGAGACAGCCAACAATCAAGTTACTATTATTTCTCTGTAAACCACATATATGCGATATTGTAATGTATGCGGCTTACGTAACATCAGTGCCCGTCCTACGTATAGCTCATCAGTTAACTCCCTTTCCCCCACGTAACCAGGCTCGGCCCCAGCAGGATTTCCCTGAGCTCTATCACCCAGACAGTCAGTTATCGCCAGGCAGCTGCACATGATTTACTGCCCTTCACAGCTCATGGAAGTGTGTCAGCTCTCCAGAGAACACTGCTGTGGGTCAACCTGTCCCTTCCCCCGAGCCACCGCCTGAATGCTTAGGAAGAAAACCTACTCTAGCCTACACATTCATTTTCGCTCAGCCTACACTGATGTCATCACTAAAGTAAAGAGTGAAGGAGAAATTAAATGTGACCAGTCGAGGGGAGAGCTGGATCTTCTTCTCAGCATCCGTGCATGTAGCCTTTAAAGAATGCTAATCCTTGCTGTTTGTGTGGCCAGTATGACAGTAACCCACACCCCAGCAAGTGGGCTGGCTGAGATGCTCAGCTTTCCTTGGTCTGAGAGGTTTCAGAGAGAACACAATGCTGGCAGGAGAGAATAAAGCTGCACAGTGGGCATTCAGTGGCAGAGGAAACCGGCAAAAGTCAACCCCCTCATTGGAGGAGCTAGGGCGAGGGTGCACACAGGGCTGAGTGTCTCCGCTTCCATCACAGGGTAGACATGCTGCTTAGTATACAGCCACGTGTGGAGAAATTAGCTCTGAGAGATATCATTTGTTAATTTTGTCATTTCCCAAACATCACAGAGTACTCACACAAATTTAGGTCAGTCACCTGATACAGCCTCTTGACAAAACCGGGACAGTAATTGTAAGACCCATGAGGGGCTGCCAGCATAAGACAGCATACTATCCTATGGTTAATGTTCTGTTTAAATGACCATGAGTACACCCTATAATAATGATAGAAATGCAGCATAATGAATATTTATATTGCTAATGGCATAGCCTTAATTAAATATTTTGTACATACATGTGTGTGCGTACACACATGCTGTGTTTTTATGCATAAAAGTTTGCAGTGCAGGGAGTGTACACGGATGTCACCACGGACATGAGGAGTGAGTTGTACCATGATATTAGGATGCCTATGGTGTCTCCGGGTAATGGGAATCTTTCAGTATTGTCTTATAGGATTGCTATGGTTGACTAAGGTATGCAGCACATGGCTATACAGTAGTGATGAGATCAGAGAATCCACTTAGTGTAGATTCACTCAGATATGTTTAATTGGACCTTTGTCGGTGCTGAGCTGAACCATGGAGAAGCCATACATGTGGAAGATAATTATATTGCTGATGGGGTGCATAGCAACATACATGTAAAGGGCAGGAATCATTTAGATGGGGAAACATTTATAGGACAGTGTTTAAGTTGACTCTGAAAGGGTTAAAACCTAGGTTTATGTCAGGAAGGATGGGTGCTTAGAAGTGTCTGCCTGAATTGATGGATAATGGGCTGGCGTTGAGTCAAGAGGAAAATCTTAGCCTGACCTGCAAGGTTTGATCTGGTGTTGTCATGGTAACCTTTACTGAAAGGCAGGACCACTGCCCATTGGCCTGCCCTCTCCCCTTTCTCTTGTAAACAAATTACTTGTATGTTCATGTGAGAACTGCAAGGAGCTGTGTGGCCCAGACAGTGAGCAGGACCTCACCCAGGAGCTAGGCCTATCAAGAAAAGATGACTGGCCCCACAGTTACAGAAGTCAAGGACTATGCACTAAACACTGACCAGAGGGTGGCTGTAGATTCACTCACTGAACCCATGGCTTCTGGTTGTTCATGAACTTTGATGTAGCAGGTACTGTGGTCAACTATAGCACAAGTAGACACTGAGGCACAGAACAATGATTACATAGGTGGACCTTGGTACAGACAGAGCAGTCGCCAAGAAAGCACTGTCCAGGGAAGGTGTCTATCTAAGTGTACAACCTCAGCCAGAGGTAACAACAATGCATGCCCCAGAAGACTAGCCTGTCTTGGCTGTCCCACTGTGAAGAAGTTACTACAGAGACATCCTACGATGCATAGAACAGCCCCTGCACTGCCAAGAATTACCCAGCCCCTGCTGTTGATAGTACCAATCTCGAGAGTCTGTGTGTGGAGTGCAGAGTTCAGATGTAAGAGAGAAAGCGGTTAGTGAAGTTGGTGAGGGTGACTTTATGGGAAGCTGATCTGGGTCTGGAAAGGCCATGGGAGGGGTATTATAGACTGAGTATGTCCCCTTAAAGTACATGTTGAGGCCCTAGCCCCAGGGGTTTGGGGGAAGTGATTAGGTCCTAAGGGTGATGCGTTCATGAATTGCATAAGTGCCATTGTGCAAGGGACACTATGTGCCTCTCTTCCTCCATGTGAAAGCAAGAAGCCAGCAATCTGCAGCCCAGAGGAGCCCTCTTGTCATCACCAGGCTGCCAGCACCCTAAACTCAGACTTCTGGCCTGTGTAACTAGTAGAAGTAACTTTCGTTGACTGGAAGCCAGCCAGTGTATGGTTCTGGCAACCCAAGGTGATCGAAAAGACAGAGTAGGGGCGGGGCAGTAGAGGGAACTTGAGTGAAGATGGGGGTGAGTTTGAGAACCAAGAATTTCTGATGACTCCCAGCCCTGTGTCAGAACCTGGCCTTCCCATAAGCCACCCCTTACCAGAAACTCCAAAGGCTTAGGGCTGCCAGCTGGCCATTCGTTGGAACCTAGCTCTCTTCTTACCTGTCCCCATTGCCCTCTAAATGACACAGACAAAATGAGGGTCATAGTGTCCATGTTGTCAGACTGACCCCCTACTGCTTAGGGACTCAGCTCTGTCCACAGATCACCAACTCAATCAAGGTGAAAGCAAAACTGAAATGCAAACAGTAGCCTGCCCTCGAGCTTCCTGGGTGGGGAAAGGGAAAGTTCGTTTGAGGAGCCAAACTTTGATGTCTGTAAGTGGAGTTGCCATGGATTCAGAAGATGAAAGTGCCATGTGATAATGAAAGGCCTGATGAGGGCCTGAGAAAGCTGTTCCTCTGTGGCCTCCCTCACAGAGATGTGCTCAGCAGGCAGGGCCTGTCAGAGATTGCTAGACACTCAGTGCCCCAAGACACTCAGCTCTATTGAGCTGAAAAATCAGATAGCCTGCCAATGGCTCGTCTTCGCTGCGGGACATTGGCCACAACCTGCCGCAACTCACAATGCTAATTGAAGACACACTCAGTAGGTTTAGTGCCATTTTTTATAGTTCTCTAAACACCACCCACTTTGTGCCTGGACCTAGGCAGATGCTCACACTGCCCAACCCCAAACCCCTCAGCTACTGCAGGGGAATGTCCGGACCTCAGAACTTTACTAACAGTGCTGTTTATGTCAGTAGGTCCCCGTGTGCTTTGTAGTTATCTGTCCAGCATCTTGATCAATCATTGCTTCTCACACATGAGCCACCCGGGGATGCTGTTAAGATGCTGGGTCTGTTCTGACAAGTCCTAAGTAGGGCTCTGCTCTTCAGCAAACTCTCAGGGAGTCTTCTGGCTTGAGCTTTGAGGAACAGGCAACTAAAGCTAGGTGTTCTGTGTCTTACCACTTCAATGCTAATTGTCTCTACCCCAACCCCACTGCAGGAAGTAGAATGTTTCTATTTATAGACACCCTCCACATTGCTTTGTGCCTAGCTTTACCTTTCCAGGTGTAACTTATTCCTAAAGCACAGTCACTGGTAGGCAAAGCATGCTAGCATCTTTCTCTGTTCACGCCATTGCCTCCAAGTCCTGCTCTCTAGACGTCTGCTCTTTTCCAGCCTAGTGCCCAGCTTTCCTGTCCTTCTCAAGAGTATCGTGGTTCTGCTCTGGTTGCTATAGAGACCACTCTTGCTTCTTCCCTTCTCACTGTGTTTCTTAATTCGCTGCATCATTCACTGTTGTCATGGGGACAGAATGACCACTTATTTAATTGGCACCTCCAACAAAATGGCAGGTAGGAAGTCTAAGTTAATGGGACCCAACTTGAAACGCTGATTAGGCACAGCAGAGCAGAGCAGTGCCCTGGTTATTTCAGACCACCATTTCCTAAGCCTTACGTTGGAGCACATTTTCTCCAGTCTTGAAGTCATTTTGCTGAGGCATCTTGAATCAGTTCACCAGAGCAATATGAAGTTTTTTAGGTAACACTGGGAAAATAGCTTCATTCTCATGCTTTTTTGGTGTATTCTATAAGGCCTTCCCAGTTACCTGAGCATACATAAATAATCCTGCATTTAAACAGGTGGCTTTGTGTGAAGGCCCACAATCCCTTTGGTCAGATCCTGTCACTCTCAGCTCTGGTTTTCCACAAATTCCTGATCTTACAGTATATGGTCTTCAGGGGCATGTAGTGGATGGATGGAGTGGGATTCAGACTGCCTTGGCCACAGTCTTAGTTCTGATATTCTCTGTGTGTCCTGTCTCTGTCTCTCAGTCCCCCTGATACTCTCTGTGTGTCCTGTCTCCGCCTCTCATTCCCCCTGATACTCTCTGTGTGTCCTGTCTCCGCCTCTCAGTCCCCCTGATACTCTCTGTGTGTCCTGTCTCCGCCTCTCAGTCCCCCTCCCCAGTTCCAGGAGACCTAGAGAATCTTATTCCTTCTAGTGTCTACCCCATCTCTTGGTTTATAAGTGACTTTTAAATGAACAGAGTAGGTGTCCACGAAATAAAAGCTATACTCTGTATATGGCAAAGGCCTAGACTGCCATGCTTCATGATACTGTAGGCTTTGATGTTTGGGAGGCTCCATTTTGCAGCTTAAATGGCTGTTTCAGCATAGACTGGGACATTTAGAAAGAACTATACAGACCTGACAGAGACTTCAGTAAGCGTCATCATGTGGAGAAGGTAAGACGGCGCACAGTGTCCTAGGGCTTCCTGCTATGGAAACAGAACTGTGACAGGAACTCAGGTCTAGGGACACCAGCCCTGTCCTCCTCACCTGGCTATGCTTGTCCCACAGCCAGGAGCAGAAACCCAGACCTTCTCTACCCCTTGTTGGCATGACGACAAGACTTGTTGTCAACAGAAGGGCCAAATCTGTCACTGGCGTCTTATGCAGGAAAAACACACTCCATTCATTCCACCACGTTGAAAATACGACTCCCTTGATGAAGGTGTTTCCTAGCCTGTTTCAAAGCACTGGGGACACAGGTGATACCAGCATTGGTTTGAACATCAAGTCACATGAGGTGCTATGTCTAGGAGATTTTGTGGACCTGAATGAAATCTGCCTCTCCCCAATCCCTGTTCCTTCCAATTGTTGCCCTCTTAGAGGAAGGCATACTCACCCACCTCAAGACCCTGTACTCTTACTCCCCTGGAGGAAAGTCTAAGCGGACCTTGAGCCATTTCTTAAGCAGCTGGTCTTGACAGATAGAGTCCAGGCAGGCAGGCAGGCAGGCATTTCCTGGATCCTCTGATCTCCCAGCCTCAACTGTAGCATCAGGACCTCCAGACCCACCAACCAATATGGTCCACTTGCTCCAGGATGCCAAAATCATCATTTTCTCTGCAATGTGTATCTTCAACTGGGATTCGAAGCATCAGCTGGAAAGCAGGTGTAGGGAGAGGCTCAGAGAGCTTTGAACATGCTCTCCTCAAAGCATCTCCTCTGGCAAGCAGGCCTTCCACAGAGACAGCAGCCCTGGAGGGAGCACGTTGACTTCTGAGATGGGGTCTTCTCTCTGGCCCTCCCTTCTCAGCACATAGCTGATGAGGTAGTATGTGGGCCTGCCTGATGGAGGGATTGTGTGGCTAATGTGTAGAAAGCTCCAAACAGGCTCTGAAAAACTGCTTCCTCTTCAAAATTTAAGGCCAACTTTTCTTCTACAATCCATTCTGACCTAGAGGAAGGGCAGGCAAGCAAGGATGAACCTGTATACAGCCTCTATGTTTTATTTCTTCACAATCCGCATCTCAAGGAGGCAGATTCTCACTGGAGCATCTGGCTCACACGGGTAACATCCATGAGCTAGACAAGCTCTCCAGACATAGAATAGGGAAGAAGAGGTCAGAGACCAGAGAGAACCAGCCATGTGAATGAGCTGCTTGCTGGGACATGTATGCCCTTTGGAAGGAGTCACTGTTAGAGTCTGCCTTGTAGAGGGAGAGGCCCATGTCTCACGGGCTCTCTACCGACTATGCACACCCCTCACCTTTAAGCACATGAGGCTCTTCCTTATAGTTGTACTGTTGCCCGGTCCCTTGACACAGGCCATTTTCCAAAGTAAAGATGCCATTCACAGGACACGGGTCTCACACAGACTGGATGGGTTCCAGGGAGGCCTCATGGGGACAGCTCCAGCTCAGGCACATACAGCCTGCAGGTCGAAGTGAGGTCTTCAGAAGCCTGCAGGGCTGGGTGCTGCCTCTGGGTTGGGCAACATCTGTCTTTATTTCCTCTGCCTGATTGAGTGGTCATCATCTCCACTGTACTTTCTTCATGTTTTAAGGGCTTAAAGAACCAGTCCCGAGTGAAGCTGAACATTGTGAGGTGCCCCCCAGTGACCACCGTGCTAATAAGGAGGCCGGACCTTCGCTACCAGCTGGGTTTCAGCGTGCAGAATGGCATTGTAAGTACACGTCATACCACACCGTTTTCCAAAATACGATAACAAATGAAAATGGAAATATATTGAGTATTTTTCCGGCGGGTCCATTCTCTTCATCTTTTCATCCAAGTAAAGAGGTTTCGGGTTTTCAGTGTTCATTTGACTAGCTCTTGGGATTTTGTTTGTTTGGGGGATGGTGTATGCCAGGCAAGAGCTCTACCAATAAACCACAGTCCTGGCCTAGACCCTTGGTCTTGCCTCCTGTGTGGAAAGCAGCTAAGGAATGCTTTGACCTAAGAGCCCCTTAGAGCCAGAAGGACCTACTTACTCCAGAACCACTAAGCTCCCTTGCTGCAGGCCTTGTCTGCATCACCTTCTGAATAAATGCACAGCCTGTAATGTAAAGTCAGCTTTACTAAGTTCGCATGGACCACACACTCTTGCCAAGTGTGTACGTTAGGAGTAGGCCGACCTGAAGCACTGGGAAGGTTCATTCTCCAGTGGTGACAGCCTAACCTCATACAGTGACTGGCTGTGCCACCATTTCCATTCCAGTAAGAAGTGAGTTTAGCCAGGGACCACCAAGTCAAGAAGAACAGCAAGTGCTGCTCTCCTCAGGCCACACCATGGAACAGGGCAGGTTTCTAGTGCCTCTTTGCATCACGCAATAGTGTTCCTCAAGTACAGGCTACCAGCATCAAACAGTTCCACGGGTAACCCTGCTTGTGACTATGGAAAGTCGAATGAAACACTGGCCACCGGCTCATAGGCCCAACAAGGATACAAAGTGGTCAGAGTCCAGGACACCAGGAAGGTCCCACCTGCCATATCCCCTGTGCACAGCAGGTGCACAGGCAGCCAGGTGGGCCTACAGAACCTACTTTTTGCTGCCACTGAATATGGTTCTAGGGATCAGATACAGGATCCGTCATGCTAGTTAACATTCAACCACTGAGCTCCATACCAGGTCACAGAACCCATTGCTCATAAGAACCTGCGAGATTTACATGGCCCAAGCCTCACCGAGTCAACGTCTCAGGGGTGTTCATGCTAGAGCAATAGGGTTCCAGGGAAGACACTCTTCCACCCTGACATGGTTCTGAGGTGGGGCACTGCCCATTAGGTGTAACTTGATGCTTGCCTCTGGTAGATCTGCAGCCTCATGAGAGGGGGGATAGCTGAGAGAGGAGGTGTCCGCGTGGGACATCGGATCATCGAAATCAATGGCCAGAGTGTTGTAGCCACACCACACGAGAAGATCGTCCACATTCTCTCCAATGCCGTCGGGGAGGTAGGAATAAGACCCAGGGCTGAACAGGGTCGAGGTACCGTGTGTGCCCCTGGTGCCATGCTAGCCTTGCTGGGAACCTGCTAGAGCCTCCTTTCCCCTCCCTAGATGCTCCTTAGTAAGCAGACCCTCTGCCTCAGACCTGGCTGATGGAATCCCCCTTCACTGCCACCTTCTCTTCAATGCTCACACTGTGTTACTACTCTCTGTGGCTCCCCAGACTCTCTCATTCTCCCCAATTAATCCCACCTAGTCTGCTTAGAAGACAAAAGTCAGATTCAAGACCCATCAAGTCAGTATCCCCCAGCACTGACATAGGCTCACACTCAGTCCTAACTAGATCTCTGGGACTGCTTTCTTGCTTTAGTAGCTGAGCAGTTTTAGATGGGCTGGCACTCCCACATTGCCAAGAAAGGAAAGCAGGCTGCCAGAAGCCAGAGTCCATCTTCCTGTGGTCCCTTCTTTATTTTTCAAAGGGCTGGAAAAGCTGGAGCCTTTAACTGGAAAACTAAGCCTTACTCATAGCTTCTTACCATTTAGAGTCACCACAACTTTCTAGAAAGCCCGTGGGCTTCAGTCTTCCAAGACCAGGTCCTGGAGCCGGGGGTGGGCAGTCTTGAAAACTATATATAGTGAGAGGCACTATTTCTGAGGCCACACTCCCAGCCCCAGCTAACATGGCTTTCTACCCTCAGATCCACATGAAGACGATGCCAGCAGCCATGTACAGACTGCTGACGGCCCAGGAACAGCCCGTTTACATCTGAGCCACACCTCTGTGGTGTGGTGGCATGCATGGAGGACTCTCCTCACCGTGGTTGTGTTTCTTGTGCTGCATCGTGTGTCCACTGAGACATTCCCCTTTCGCGCCCAACATTTGGTCTTACAGAGGAAGAGAAGAATCGGCAAGGACCTCTTTGCTCTCTGTCTCTCTCCAGTCTGTTTTTTTTTCTGTTCCTTAATACCAGGGAAGTTTTGTGTGTGCCCTCTTGAGGGTGGAGAGCAGCTAATATCTACCTGAGAACATGGTGGAGGGCCTTTGGGGGACCTTAGGGTGGTTGCTACTGCCTAAGGAAGCATCGTTCCTCCCCAAGAGACACACACTTCCCTGAAGGAGCTCCCAGAGACAGCATAGGAGGTGACTGAGCAGTGCCTGAAACTCAATCGCTGATCTCTCTGCCCCCCTCACCTCACTTGATGGGAAGATAGTTGGTGACATGTGATGGCGCTGAACATCCTCAAAGCCCACATCTTCTAAGGATGTTTGCTGCCTGCTATGTAGTTGGGGGCCCTGTACATTATTTCTGCCCAGAATTTCTGAGCCAGTTTTAAATCTCTTCCATGGTTTCTTTTACCTGCAACATGTATGCTAATTCAGGCCTAACTGCTGAGAAACTAGGAAGTGACACCCTGGACAAGGCTGCTGTGACACCACAGAGATCCTGGCAAGTCACAGCAGCCTCCGAGGTTCCCCAGACTGTCCAAGGTTACCAACTGGAGGATAACCACAGGCAGGTACTATCTTCCTAATGCACAGGCACTTCCGTGTACACAAGATACACACACACACATATACACATGAGCCCTGCACAGTGTCTCATTTGCCCTCTACCTGTATCGAAGCAGGCTACCACACAGACCCTGTGGAGAAGCCCCAGCACCCCTCTGGAAGATCCCTTCCCCTAGCCGAAGGTTGACATAGGCAGAAAGCAGCCAGCCTTGTCCTAAGAAAGACACTGTCCTGGCCTTCTCTGTCTCAGTTGGCTCAGAGTTCCCTCCAAGACTCCCCCAGCCCATGTACACACTGGAGGTTCTTGAGGGACAAACTGTGATGTGGATGTGATGTGTCATACTTCCCTGCCCGAAGGCTAAGCCAGCCTGGGCCCATTCACCAATACTAATTAGGATGTGATGTTATAAAGTCTAGAGCAGATAAGCTACTAAATCAGGCAGACTTAACACTTGGTGTTGGGCCCAGGAATCCCCAACTGTGCTCCAGAAACATTCTCTGCTGTCTTGTGGATCTGGTAGTCTGCAGCTGGTACGGAAGGAAGGCTTGATGTCTCCATCAGATGCCTCACATTTTGGATCACGTCTCAGTCCAATCCGTGTGTTTTAATAACATTCTGAGCCAGTTTCCTCTTACTCTTGGTCCAAAGAGCAGTTTGTTTCCACATGGGATGTGGCTAGTTTTTGTTTTTATTTTGTTTCGTTGATGACCTCAGTAGAGACGGGGAAGAAAAACTAATACATTTTGTAGTATGAATATAATCCCTGTTCTCTGCATCTGGGATATTTATATTGTATCTTTGGAAATGGGAGTTCAGTGAGCAGTGTTGGGGAGGATGGATTTATGGAGGGAAGAGGGGGACCTGGGGAAGGGAGAGATGTGAATAAAACAAGAGAAGGAACAGGAAGCTTCAGCCAGGGTGGGAAACAGCCAACCTCTGACGTCTCTGACTTCATGAGGTGTCTGGAGAGACTCGGGAAAGCCCGGTGCTTGCTGGGATCTACTGTGAGCCCTCAGTTTTACTCTAGCACAAACAGTTCCAGGGATATGAGGCCACCGGCTGTCCAGAGAGCTGCCTGAGAAGGATGGGCGAGCTATGTGGAGTTGGGAGCACAGGAGCCAGGCCGTCTGGACTTGATTTTAAGGTATCTAACAGAATGCTCCTCCATGACCAGGCCCAAGGTCCAGCAAATGTGGAGACCAGGAGCCATGACTTGGATTTTCTTCACACATCCTGAAATAACTGATCCATCAGGTATCTAACATAACCGCACACTGAAGGATGCGGTCCACCTCTCCTCTGCCAGAGATGATGGGTAGGATAAAGAGGGACATTATTGCTGCCATCTCTGGCATTGGGAACCTTGGTAAAGTCACTTGTCAGGCTTATGTCCATCAGACCCAGGGTGGCCACCACGGGCAGGTGCCCAAGCACCTGGACCAGAAGGCAGAAGTAGGACCTCAGAGGCTAACCTGGGACTGATCAGGGCAGAACCCAGAGTCATCACTCCTGGTAATCACAATGAAGTATCTTCACCCCAGGGGAAGAGAAAAAAAGAATGCTTTCCATTCTCATTGCACAAACCCTGGAAGCTTTAAGAGGGGCTGAAAAGCAAAGCTTTTCTTGTGAGCTCTCCTTGAGAACTAACAGTATAGCATGATGGTAAGGATTACTTAGTCTTTTGTGTTAAGGGAGGTTTCTCCCTCCCAGAGCCTGGACCAGGCCCCCTGCTGAACCAAGTTCTTCCTCTGCTAGCATCAGACTGAATGGTTAAACTTGGGATCAGGTCTTGTCTGGCATCTTCATACATGGTTACATATGTAACTATCTCATCGCTCCCAGTAATGGGGCCTGACTACACACAGAGCCGCCTTCCTCAAACTACAAGGCACAAAGCTGCTCTGCCCACTCAGCTGGAACATGCTGGTGACTTGGCTTGGGGACAGGCTCCCAGATCCACACCCCTGCCCCCAATCCAATGAGGTTGCACTAGAACCCGCTCTGCCTCTGCCTTCTCCTTGGGAGCATTTCAGGGAGCCACCATCAGCCTTGAGTTCGTGAGAGGAGGGAAGCCTCACAGATCCATGGCAGGAGCCCACTTCCCCAGCGATCCCTTCCTTCCCCACAGCAGGCTCCAGGGGGGGAGTAGAGCACATGGCAGGCTGCCACCTCCCTGCACACGGGTTTACTTTCTGAATTTCGCCCATTAACATTGGCCTTCAGGGAGTCCAGAGTAACCTACTACCTCCCCCGTAGCTCCCCCTCCCTCCTCCTGCAGCCCCGCCCACACCTATGCTCCCCGTGGCACACTGATGAAAACCCACCCACAGAGCCTTGCTCAGGTCTCTCCACCCACTGGTGTACACCAATGTTTACAACCAAGGGCCACCTCTTCCTGATGTTTTAACTCTCACCTTCACCAGGCTACCTGTTAGTTTGAGTTTCACCTCTGTCTGCTCCTTCCCTGGTTAGGGTCCACTTGAGTACACAACCCTGATTTTATCTTCCCTCCATCTAGGGCAGTGTGTGATGACTGTGTGGGAATGAAATCTCTTGTACATACTTAGCACAGCACCTGGGGTATGAACCCGCACCCCTGTTCTGTAACGGGGTACCTTAGCGCTTACTGTAAAACATCGGGAGAAGTATAGTATTGTATTTGTAACAATATCGTTCTTTGTATACATGAAACTCAATGATCTCTATATATAAATATAAATATATATAAATAAAATATATCTACACGTGAGCCTGGAATGTTGATACTGCACACCCACTGAATGTATTTCCTCTGACAGTCTGGTCACCGGTCCTGGCCCACCCTCCCCTTCTTTGTGCCGTGGCGGCAGTTGTCTGGTTTGGGGTTGTGATGTATTTAATGTGCTATCTCCTTATTTAACTGAACACTAATGTCTGTATAAGAATTGCTGCAACAATAAACAAGGACTTCACCCCCTTGGCTCTGGCTATGTACTGTTTCAGGGAGGAACGGAGCTCTGTGTGCAGGGAGGGAGGATTTTGTCTTTTCCTTAATAAGCCACCTTCAGCCTTAAAGATTATGGAGACTGCTTGCTACCCAGGTATTTATCTTGTGAAACTGGCTGAGTGGCTGTCACACACACACACACACACACACACACACCAGTGGTCTGGCTTGGTGGCCTATCACACACAAACACACACACACACACACACCAATGTTCTCTGACTCCTTAGAATACTCTGAAAGGGAGAGGGGGCCCTTTCCCTTTCAATTTCATTCTTTGTATCTATCATCACTGAAGGAAGAAAAACAACAACAACAACAAAGCAGTCTTTGCTGAGGGCTTGAGCCAAAGAGGAAAACAGTGCCTCGGGAACAACCTGAGGATTCTGTGAGAATGTTCTAGAAGCCGTTTCCCTAGTACTCTGCAATTCCACTTTTTCAAATTTTGGTAACATGGTTTTCCCGCTGCCGTTGGACTTGAGTGAGGCAGAGGGCTCCCATCACAGAAGACCTGGTGCTCCGCTAGTGCTAGTGTCCTAGTCTTCATTAGGACGCCTCTTCCTCCTTTCCTGGAAAAACTAGGTCCCTAGTTTTGACTGCATCAAAGCTGCCAGAAGCCCTGGGAGGCGGCCACCTGCTGTGTCCGGCAGCTGCCTCTTTGTTACTATGCTTTATATCTTTGTAACAAAATACTTAATGTTGAAAAGCTTAAAGATGGTAGTGGGCTAAAACCCTCAAACAGTTTTCTCCCCACAGAAACATCTTAAACAGCTCCATTCACCATTGAAACCACTCTTACAAGAGCTAACAAAACCAGATGAGATGTCACAGGAGCTTGTTATCTTATGACGGAAAAAAAAAATGTGCTGACAAAGAATTGCCTATGCCATCCCTTCTCTAGCAACATTACATGCAAATTCCTTAAGAACTAAAATAAATAACTAAAACATATCATTTTGGCTTTGTGATCCAGCATTCCCACTGCTGGATCATATCCCAAAGTAAAAAGGTCACAGTGTTAGAAAAAAGCATGGGTCCTCACACTCACACACAACAAGCTCTCTCACTCACTGAGCCATTACCACAGGCCTCTCAAGGCATCTCTTGAACAGCTCTGGTAGCAGCCAGGAAAATAGGGTCCCCCAACTACCAGCAGCAGGGCTCAAGAACAGTGAGGAATAATGGCACTTTTAATAAACTCTGAGAAATGAATATATCATCCCCATGTGCTACCTACCAATTGGAGGGCTTATTGCTAATCTGCATAGGCGGGCTCCCAGGAGGGGAAGCTCTGTGGCAGGTCAACAGCCCACAGGTGTGGCTCTTCTCTGTGACCTTCGGCTCACAATAACCCATAGGAACAGAAATGGTTGCTTCTGAAGCAGGCCTTTTGTGCCTTTCAGCCAGTAGTTTACTAATCAGCCCCTCTTTGTATCTTTCTTCACCCTCTGGCCTTCAGTAATTAAATCTAGGACATCCCAGATGTTGTTTCTCTTATTGGTACCTGAACATCAAAACATCACAGGGTAACTGTTAACCCAAAACTTAGCTCTCATCTCAAAGGGAAGAGGAGGGAATTGATTCTAGAGCAGCCGTTCTCAACCTGTGGGTAATGATGCCTTTGGGGTTTGAAGGACTTTCATATGGGTCCCATATCAGATATCCTGCATATCAGATATTTACATTATGATTCATAACAGTAGCAAAATTACAGTTATGAAGTAGCAATAAAGATAATTTATGGTTGGGGGTCACCACAACATGTATTAAAGGATCACAGTCTTAGGAAAGTGGAGAACCACTGCTCTGGAGCCAGATGTGAGCTATCATAAATAACCCAGGAACGCAGATTAGGTTATCCCAAATACCATGTTCTATGTGGTAACAGTTTCATGGAATCCTCTTAATTATAGGACAAATGAGAGCTATAGATCCAGGCACTTTTCAAATACATGGGCAGAATCTGACACCTTTCTTATCAACTGTGTCGGTAGAAGGTAGTGATCTGTTATATCCTAAAAGAATTCATGAAGAAGGAAGACCAAAATGTGGATATTTCAGTCCTTCTTAGAAGAAGTAACAAAATAATCATGGGAGCAAATATGGAGACAAAGTGTGGAACAGAAACTGAAGGAGGGGCTGTCCGGAGACTGCTCCACCTGGGGATCCATCCCATGTGCAGTCACCAAAGACAAACACTGTTGTGGATGCCAGGAAGTGCATGCTGATAGGAGCCTGATATAGCTGTCTCCTTAAAGGCTCTGCTAGAGCCTGACATATACAGAAACAGACGCTTGCAGCTAACCACTGAACTAATCACAGGGTTCCCAATGGAGGAATTAGAAAGAAGACTGAAGGAACTGAAGGGGTTTGAGCCCCCATGGGGAGAGCAACAATACCAACCAACCAAAGCTCCCAGGGTCTAAACCACCAGCCTGGGAGCACATAGAGGAGAACCCATGGCTCCAGCTGTATATGTAGGGGAGGATGGCCTTGTCAGGCATAGGTGGGAGAGAAGGTCCTTGACCACGTGAAGGTTGGATGCCCCTGTGTGGGGGAATTCGAGGACAGGGAGGTAGGAGTGGATGAGTGGGTGGGGGCACATCCTCACAGAAGAAGGAGGAGGGGGGATGGGATAGGGAGTTCCTGGGTGGGGAGGAAAGGGGATTACATCTGAAATGTAAATAAATAAAATATCCAATAAAAAAAGAAAGAAAGCACATGAAATATACATATATATTTTTTAAAAAAAAATTAAAAATTTTTTAAAAAAGAGTTCATGGTACAGTCACAAGGATTCTAGGTCAGACACAGAGGTGAGTGCTGTAGATTGCAAGTAAGGAAAGCTAAAATGAATCCGACATAGTCTGATCTGGGCTCTTTTAACATCAACTCTCCAATCACAAAGTTCTAATCAATCAGCCTGGTAGAATCTTCAACACAGGCATAGCTTTTGAGAATTTCAGTTCATAATAACCCATATGTATGCAAATTTTAATGTCTTTTTTTTTAATTATGAGAGTAAAGGTGGACAATAACTTCAAAAGAAAACCACTTGACTCACAATTCTAGAGGATCCAAACAGCCTCACACCACTGCCTTGTCCAGAGGTGCCTGTGGAAGAGCAGAAAGAGAGCCAGGGGCCTGCAGAAGTGGCCAAGCCCATGGGTGGCCTCCCTTTTTAACCACCTGCTCTAGAAAGAAGTAACGCTACAGCTGTTCCTCCAAGAAGGCACTGTCCTTCCCGCGGGAAGGCGTGCCCTGGCCGGATCACCTTCCACTCAGCTGTGGTTCTTTAGGTCCCTCCTCCATACAGTAATACTGGAGGCCACAATACCAACCAAAGCTTCCTTGCGTCCTCTTCGGGAGTCAACTAAATCTAAACTCTGACAGAGCCTCTTCTGCCATCACAAAGAGCAGAGCACCCCATCGCAGCCTGCTAGGTTGAGTGGTAAGAAGAGTCTCAGCTGGTCCTAGAACCAGGCCTCTGGGCCCAACCCTTATCAAAGTGCTGTAGATAGCTTAAGGCTCACAACACCACAACACCAGCAGGAGGCAAAGGCTGCTTCTTTATAACCCAAGAACCTAAGGTTTAAGAAATCAGTTACTGCGCCAGTGGCTCTGGCTGTGCAGGACCCAGTCCCCTCAGCAGTTTTAAAAACATTCTACCCAGTCACCTCTGATGTAACAACACTGGCACTCCTCCCTTTGAGAACTAGTTGGGGTTGAGAGCTACAACAGGAATCTTTGTTTCTTGCTTGCCTTCTCTCCCCCTCATCCCTCTCTCTCCCTTATGTGAGATGACACAAGTTCTCTTGAGAAGGTCAGACTACTCTTCCTGGCTCATTAGGCCTACCTATGCTACTGGCCAGGAGTTGCATGAGATAGAGATTCCGCCTCAGGCCCTGGCAGGCTAGTCCTACAAAGAGAATCGACAGGTCCCTGGCCGCACCCTCCTCACCAAGATGCCGAGCCTCCCATTTGCCCTCTCTCTTCCTCACTGCCAGCTGAGGCACTCATCCTTCACAGCACTCACCCTCATTGCTCCGCTCCGGAAAAGGGCCACCTAAGCTGGGTATAGCATCAGTGTTCTCCAGAGTGGGGGTTGGGGGGGGGAGGTCTTAAAGACAAAGGAAATACTTTTCCTTACCGGACAGGAAGAGAAGGAAGAGCTACTTTCCTGATCTCTGTATTTACTCAAAAGACAAGGCTCCAATAACTGGAGGAACCTGAATGAGCCTGTTGTAAGCAGCCAGCTTTTGTGGGCAAGCCCCGCCCCTCGTCAAGTCCCGCCCCTGAGAAGCCCCACCCCATCGTCCAGCATTGCCCCAAACCACTGTGAAGCTTGCAGAATCGCAAGGTTTAGTCTTCTAAAAGTCCTCCTTTATCTGCTCTTCGGTCACTTGACCTCACTGAGCATGTTCATCTCGTGAGACCTGTGTGTCTAGTATTAACAGAATTTTTGCAGCTGAAAGGGAGGTCAAAAATCTGTTAGCGCAGGAGGACCTATAGGAAGTCAAATGGTTGGCTAATTTTGTTAATGAACAGGACATTAAGGCACACAGAAATCACGACCTTCCTCCAGGGTTAAATGCAAATGTGCTCCTAGGGTTTCAGTCTCCCTGTACTGGTATACTGGCGTGATCCCTTCTTCACAGTCGCTGCAGACTGTGTGAGCCCTGAGAGTTCACTGTACAACAGTGTGAGTGTGTTTTACATTGGTTACTAAACTGATCGCTTAAAAACAACTAACGTGGCTGGGGGAGAAGGCTTAGTCAATAAAGTGTCCCAGCACTCGTGTAAAACGTCTGTATGTCCAGCATTGGAGAGGTGAAGATGGGAAGACCCCTCGGGCTTGTTGGCTAGTGGTCTAGCTGAATCTCTGAGCTCTAGGGTCATTGGGAAGCCTTGTCTCAAGAAACAAGCTGAAGAGTGGTTGAGGGGAACATTCACTGATGTTGACGCCTGGTCTC